CTCGGTTTTCCTGTTTCAAGTGTGCTATATACCCCAATCCGTTCGAAGGAGGGACTGCAAAAGAAAAAAAACCCGAAAAAAGTGGTAGGAACGAGGATTCTGAAAGAAATTTCCCGGATAAAGTGGTAGGAAGTCGCTTCAAGGAAGATGGTAGTAGGTAAAATGAACAAAGGGGATCGCATCACAGGAGGGGTTTCCAGGTAGGTCGTATTCAGCAAGGAATTCCACCCGAGGCAGGACGCGTTCTTTTGACGATTTCCCTCTGAAACTCTATTACCCAACTTGGGTAAAAGCTGCGACAGCGAGACCCATCCCCTCAAACTGAGCTGGAGTACCAGGGTTCCCGCATACTATTGCGAACATTAATTATCGTGTAACATCATCGCTATTTCCCTGGTCAGGTTTCGTTACCCATCCGGGTAATGATCATAGAAAGTTTGGCTCCAGGTTCCCGAACCGAATCAAAACATTTCGATAAGGATTCCTACATGTCAGCTATGACTACTGTGAAACATTCAACACCAGTCCAACGATCCCAAGTCGGTATTTTTCTACCCAGTCTGGGTAAGTGGTGTACAGCCACGAAGGTTGTGGTTGAGCGTGCGCTCCAAGCCACCTAGTACTGCGCGGAATTACCTCGATCAGCATTTCAACACAGTTCGCTGCGGATGCTGAGGCGTTTCAGGTGGGGGAAGAAAGGGAGGGGAGAAACAGGGTTTGACGGTTTTCCACCGAATATGGCCGCCTGCCAGCTTGCTTATAGCTGGAGAACAGGCTGGAGCAGCACCAAACCCAGCCGGTTGGACGCCCCAACGTTCGCAATAAACTGCCCAGTGATGCCCGATCAGCGTACCTTTTCGCATGGCTCTTCTTTTGGGGTTCAGGGATCTTTATGCAATGACAAATAGGTACGCAAAGATATCACACCCTTGAGCGGTGTAAGGCATGAAGAGCATGGTCCATGAGCCGGTGTACCCTCCTCAACGCCGGGCAATAGCATCCCCCTACGCATTCTACCCAAACCCTATGCTCATACTTGCAGATACCCAAGGTAATCACCCACCCCCCAGCCATGTGCGTGAAACTTCCTCGATTACCTTTCAACTAGATAACCATATATCGTTAACTATATAGAGTAATATAACAGCTAGCCCACCCGAGTAAGGCCGCCGTGAATCATCGATACCTGTCCGATTTCCTCCATTAATCGATATTGATTGAGCTGCATATAACTTTCACTTCGTTGTTGTTGGACTTTTTTGATGTGACGAGTCGGTCGCTGCAAATTCGGCGACATCGTTGGTGCCAGCTGAAAAATTGGGAGTTGTAAATCGGCTACACGGTGAGACCAACTTTTTCACAGAGCTCGAGCTTCCAAGGAGAAACACTTGAAAAAGAGAGGATGTCAAACACCCAAAAGTGGCGCTGCTCGGCGACGGGGGCATTTTGTACCATCCTCTGCTTCCCTGGTTCCGGTTTCAAGTCTAACCTGTGCACTGTGAAGCTGAAGCAAGGCCGTCGAGCCATCATGTTAGAAACCTGTCAACTCGAGAAGAGGCTGTCTAGATAGGTCGACACGTCGATGGGAAGTAGCAAAAGTGCAAAATGCCCCCCCCGTCGCTGATCTGCGCCCCCAAAAGTGTCTACATTCTGGAGAAAACAGTCCTGCAGCCCGTTTTACAATCTTATGTACAGTATTTATGTAATATTTACGTATACAGTAGCTAATCCACTATTACGGTACCATTTCTATTGCTGT